CGTTCTCGTAACAAACTTTTCTATCAGAGTTGAATAAAATCCCATTTTTTATATACCATTCGATAGAGAATTTTACGAGCCACAAAATGGTACATAATATAGAGAGAAACGTAAAGCCTAACGAGGGAACATCCCTAGAGGTATATACAATCTGAATATGTCTTGACCACTGGATTCACTGAATATTGTTTTTTTGTAATCATTTTATTACCATATTTATGAAAATGTTCTGATCCTATCTGAAATCACAATCATACTTATGATACTCTTTTTTAAATCTTTTAATAAATCGTCCTCATGATTATTATATTCGATTCTAAACACACTTTTTCGCAAAAGAAGCTTGTGGTACGAAATGGATGCTGTTGAATGAATAAATTGGTACTCTATAAAAGTTAGTACTTCAGATTGAGAGTATATGGGAAATTCTATACAGACAATAGCATACATCATATTATCGAAAATGGACTAGAATTCAAAATCACCTTAGAGTTTTAATGACAAGCGCATCAATCAACAATAATGTGTTAACAAATTTTTGAAAACTTATTTTTTATGCAATTAAATCTTCTTGCTACTCGTTCATTATTTATAATAACTTTTCACAATGACTCACATGTTGATGTAAAGCAACTTTTCTCAATTATTTATTAAATTTTTAAAGAGTCATCTTTTTCCACATCTTACATGTAAAAGAACACTGGAGCTGATTTGTCCAAAAACTGTTGTATTGGTTTATTTATCATGGAATATACACAGTTTTTTCTATTTATTCAAGATTTTACAATGCTACGTCAACAATACACACTAATGATAAGGAATTCCTACAACGAAATGTATAATTCGTATTTTATTAACTTGTAGGTAAGAGAATATTTTTTGATATAACATTAGTTTCACATAGAATATTCTTTAGAAACATAAGTAATTTAATTTCATGTAAAATAAATATTTTCACGTAGGAATTCAATAGAAAAGTCACATTATTTTCTGTTTGACAGTAATATTTTATTAAATTAAGGCATCAGGAGTAACACTGAAACATATTTCTTAATAAATATGAAATTGTTCTGATTGTTTCATCAAATCTTTAACTGTGGTGAATTTTTCTAAACACTTCGATAAAGATTTTACTTTATCTACAATTCTACGCATGTAACCAATAACTCCCAATCTTTATTATTAGCATAGATTGTAAACTTACAGGTAGAAAGTAAATGGATTCATTGATTCGAATATTTCTAAACTATTTTATTTAAATTATGAGTTTTTCAATCACTCAGTCAGTTCTGAAAACATATTCGAATTGATTCTTGATATCAACAAATATTACTGTCTGTTGACAAAAGCAGGTTATCTTTTCAAAACTAAAGGCGACTCATCACATACATGGGTTGTAGGATGTAACTGAAGATTAGATTTACATCCTAAAACTTGAACGATTCTAATATTACAGGTTTAATCTCAAAATATTCATAATAACTTCGGCCATTAAAAGAAAGATTATGGAATTGTGATTTATGTGTTTCGATGACGAGCATACCAAACATCTGTTCTATCAAACTGAAGATAATAAGAGATATTTAGTTATATTTAGCACTATTCGTAGTATCTACAACAGTAAAAAGTGTTCTGTAAGTGCAAGTAACTTATGATATAAGCATAAAAAAAAGGTTACAAGTTGATGAGTACTTGAACATCTATCTACCAAATAACAAAAAATTATGATTTATGCAAATCTAAATAATAAGACAGATCAGCTTTAATTCCAACTAGATAAATATTGCATTCAGAAAAGTGAACTTCTCAAGAAAATTATTAAATAAGACAATGAAAAAAGACTCTATTTGAATACCATAGTTGATTAAATAGAAGTCCGAGTAAAACTTGATATTTTTCTCTACAGATACTAGAAAAAAAGACAACTTTTTTTAATGAATTAATAATTAGAAAGACTAGTAATATAAGTGTTATGATGCATATAAACTTAATTTTCAGAGTAAACGGAATAAAACTATACATTAATCTTGTCAATGTAGAGAATCAACTTTTCTTGTATTAGTGAAACAAAATTTACATCTTGTTTTTTTTTAGTGATTTGTGTATATATGTTATATTCGACATAATTTTTATTAATTATCAGAAATTTTACAGAAACCATTTATAATTTACAAATTATAAAAAATATTTCTATTTTATTATGATATATCTATAGAGCATCCATAAAGCCATACTACATAATATAATTTTAAAACATCCAATAAAAAAACTATTTGAACTATTCTCTTCCATCGATTTTGGTGTTGTCAAACGATCGACTAATCGTAATAATATATCATTTTGATGAATAATTCGAGTTTGTTCTAAACAATGATTACCACAATGATGCTTTTCAATTACGTCATCTGACTTTTTACTATCTGATAAAACTTGTGGTGCATCACAAAATAATTCTTCACGTAACTTTATAATAAGACTTGATAATTCATTTTGTTGCAATTGATTTAATTCATAATGTTCTTTACTTATTGATTTCTTATATTTACAAATAATATCAGCGAAACGACGTGAATACACATTATTTGTGACGCTTGAGATGATTGTATCTGACGTAGACATTCGTACTGATTGCATTGAATAAATCATTGAAGAAGGTGTAGGAGTACGACCTTAATTGACACAAATAAAATCATGTTTTACAAATAGAAAAAACTTACGAGGTTGTAAAGATAATCTGTTTTCAACATAAGTTATTTGACGAATTAATTCTTCAAATGATTGATCAAAATTTTCATGTGACGAAAAGTCGATGTGAAAATGAGAACCTTTAATAATTCCCAGCCAACTCTCTGCATGAAAGGATTTTTCCATCAAGCAGGAGATACATTTGATTTTATTTTCAGCTGCGTATTCCGCTTCTAGACAAATTTACTCATTCATAAAAATTGAGAAGTATATTTCAAAAAAATTTTTCTTTACCAAGCCTACAATAGTTACTTGTATAGTACTGTTGATTAATGCACAGAAGAACTATATATGAATTTTCAACAGCACGCGCCATACTGGCTAGAATATCATCACCCATGTCTGATAGGTCCATCCAGACTTTATAATTTTTTTCCTATAATGTAAAAAATTAAAATTTTCATCATTTAGTAAAATTAAAAATATTATATATATAGTTACAATAAGACGATCATATAGTTTTTGACATATATCACGAGATGACCTATTATAACTAATCATGATATGTCTTTTCTGTTGTTGATTGTCCTGTGCTGCTACGTAAATTGTTGTGTTTGAAACAGTTGATAGGACACTGAAATGATCTTAAATAAAAATGTATGGAAAATTATTTAAAATATTTTCTTGTTTTACCAGCTGCTTGCTCTGGAAATGATTCACAACTATCAGCTGTTGAGTCATGATTTTCACTTGCATCTTTAAGAAAATGTTTACTTGGATCTGTTGTTGAATTATTGACTACACTTTCACAATTTAAAGGAAATTTGTTTGCTACACTGGAATTATCAATAATACGATCAAGTGATTCTGCAATTTTGACTGCTTTATAATTATCAACTCCATCTTTTTGTCGATTATGAAAAGTCATATGCCATGTTAATAATGCTTCATCCAACAATTTATCAGTAGATGTTTCTATAAGAAAATTAAAAATAAAAAATATAAGAAAGACACTGTCTTACCATCAGTTTTCTTATGATTTAATTGATTTGCATTAAGAGTAGTGTTCATCATTATCTGTGAAAAACCAATGTACACTGCAACAATGAAAGAAATTATTCTTTTACACGATATAAGATGAAGTATTATTTTTATAACAGATTTCGTTTTAATAATTTAAACTAAATTTTCTTCAGGCTTTTTTCTATTATTTTTATTCATCTAAAGAAAAGTTGTGTAAATAATGACTGCTTAGATAAGTCAATGACTTATATGTGTCCAGTTTAGACTAAATGTCTTTGTTTCCGTACATGGACAATAGGAAAACAATTTATTGGATAATAAACATACTCCCTATTCAGTGAGACAGTTATGCACAACAATAGATGCCCTTGAATGATAAAACGCGATTCCATAGAAATGAGTTAATAGTATGTCGACAGAATAGAAAAAAACATATTGAACAGTTTGCGATAAATCATCTTCCAAGCATTCAAGCAATAGATATGGTAGGCTATACTGAGTCATTTTTAAAACAAGTTACCAAATTAGCTATTCAATATTATCATTTTCCATTTGAACAAATAGTTAAATCATTACGTTTGACATCTAATTTAAATACATGAAAATTAGACAGACTATCATTCAATGAAACGAATTTAAAATTAATTCAACAAACTGGAACTTTTCAATATGTATCAAAAAAGAAATAAAATAAAAACTTTAGAACTTCATGATTGTTGTACATTAGAAAAAATTTCATTGATTATTAATTTATTTCCATAATTAGAATATCTTAAAACAAATAATTGAACTTTTACTATTAAGGACTAATCATCAAATACATTATTTATTATTTTCTATGTATTTCCGAAATATCAAAACTATATTTAAAAGAATTAAATGCCTTAATTAAATCAGAAAAATTACTTGATAATTATTTTATTAAATAATGGTGATTTGTATTCATGGTACTAGTCATTTTTTCTCTTGACTATAGGGAGAGTCATATGAAATAAAATTAGTTTGTTTTGAGCTATGTTTGTATGTTTGCAGGAGTTAAAGGTCAAAAAAACATCATCTTAAAAATCAATTGCCAGATATTTTCGATATCGGACTTTCGACCAATCAGATTTTTTCAGCCTGAAAGTTCAGACAATCGGGTTTTTTCGGGCTAGGAGTTCAGCTCATCAGATGATTTTGGGGTGGAGATTCCAGTCAATTGCATAATACAGTCGAGGGTCAAGCGAGTCGAAGCAACGAACGTTATTTATTAATAGTTGGTAGTTGTTTTTAAATAAACAAGAGACTTAATCGTCAAAATAACTATCATAAATGAAAAAGAATAATATTAAAGATGTATTACAAATTGTTTTTATATAATTCATACAATAATACAATAATTAACGCATCATATAATTTTAATATAAAAGTTATTTAAAAAAAGATCTTGTTTGTTTTTACAATATTCTTCGCTGATATAATCGTATTACACGATTTGAAGATCTTTGATTAATTCATTGATATATGAATGTCTCGATTTGAATTCTGAGATTTATTTAACAATTAGATGCTTAGTTATGTATTGTGAAATTTTCTTATTTCTTCAAAAATAGTTCATTGTCTACTCGAGTTGAAGAATTCATCAGATAGTATTGATTAATCAAGCTATCTAGGGGTATCCAAAAGTAGTGGCAACGACATTTTAGTACCGCGTAGTAAGCTTGATAAAAGTTTCTTTTTACATAGGATGATAGAGAAAAAAATGTTCTTTCTTTCTATGCTATTTGATCATACTTCAATTGATATCATAACAATAAAGTCCTAATAAGACTAGTTTGCCTATCATGTATAACGGTTATAAAGGGTGACCCATAAATTACCCGTCACTTTTTAATTGCGAATAGCTTTTGATAGGAAGAAGATAGAGAGCTGCGGTTTTCACCATTCGAAAGAAGATGTGTCACTGTATAGTTCCA